CCCCAAAACCCCAAAACCCCAAAACCCCAAAACCCCAAAACCCCAGGTGACTTCACCTAAATTGAATTTAAAAACGGTAATATTTAAACCCTTTTCAAACTTTTTAGGTGAAGAAACTATTCTTTACCTTTCAATATTTTCAGAATCAACTAAGGAATGAGTTTACGTCCAGCAAGTCATTGCTATATTATACAATAACTAAGCTCATAGATATCTTTAAAGTCTGAGAAATTTAACGATAAGGGTATAAGAAATTGGACGATCCTGTATGAAACCGAGGAGTTAGATTTTTTAATTCTTGAATAAACCCGACCATTGAGTCCAAAATTTTGGTCCAACTTAGATGGTACAACCTAGATAATATTCCAAATATCGTTATGAGGAATGAAGACCCTTTTATACTAGCACATAGATATAAGTACGAATATTTTATCTGGGAAATATTTTATAAAATGAATTATTTTACAAACGCAGCTGTCCGGATTCTTATCCTAAACCTTTGCAGAAGTAGGAGTATCCAGACTCCTACTCTCTGAAGAAATAAATCTTTTAAAAGCTGTCTCATTTTCGTTCGTGCAAAGACTACTTCGCTTCGAACAAGGGGAGAATCCAGAATCAGTTACATCTTTAGTGTTTGTACATGTAAGAGCCCTGGATTCTTCCTGAGTAATATCACTACCCTTCCTCATTCGTTTAGTGGGTTTAAGAGTTTTGAGGGATAAGTCTAGCCCTTGAGATGCCACTGAAATCAAGTTCTGGATTGATCTCATTCAGAGATGAGCAAGTCTGTTAAGGTGAATAAGGAAAACTTACTTCTGAAAAATAACTTCATCTTCCCGAACCGCTCTTTGGTAGATCTTATCAATGATCTCTGAGTAATATTGATAATTTATGAGGGTTTGGAGTGGACAGTAAGGACTTTGTAGCATTTGCCTAAACCTCTGAAGAGTTCTGGTGAAAGTTCTTATTATCTTGATCAATTGGATCCTCTGGAGCTTTAAAGCAAGTAGCAGGTCATCCTGTGTTTCCTATGAGTGGGTTAATAAGATTCTCTAAATTTTCTTACTTCTAATCCAGGGCCTTGGTCTGGTGACACAAGTATTAGTGTAGAGGTAAGCTTAAAATTCAATTTTGAACTAGCCCAGTATAGGAGTTGTTTCCAAGCTTCTACGTTAAGCTGAGTTTTCAATAAATCGAGGGGATTTCTTGCTTTCATCATTTTCCTGAATAATTATTTAACGTAACTTGACAAATCATTCAATTTATCATCAGAGTTGAGGGGTTTTGGGGTTTTGGGGTTTTGGGGTTTTGGGG